CAAATGGAGACATGTATCTAAAAATCTTGTGGCTACAAGGTGGTATTATTGTGTGTTGCAAGCGTGTGTGATTGAAAAGGTGCATTTGTACAGAGTGCTAGTTTGTATTCATGCAGTTTATGTGCGGTGACATGCAGTCGCGAAATATGTGTTAATGCAGTGTTGTATTTGTGTTGCAAGTGTGATTCTGAGATGGTTTTCTTTTTTATTTTTAATCCCTGTGCCCCAACCCTATATCTTTAACCAAACCTCTGTTTTGTGTATCTCCCCATTCATCCTCTGTTTTGAGTGGTTTAAAAAGAATTAAAAATGTAAAAAAGTAAAACAGAAATAAAGGTAAAAAGTGAACCAACAATTAAATAATACTGGTTAGTGTAAGCAGAGTTTAAAATGAATTGCAATTTGTCCAAGTTTTGTGTGTGTGATCAACAGGTCATTTACATTTTGTAATTCTAACACAGCATATGGCTATATAATGACACAAAAGAGAAACAGATTTGTTTGGTTCTGTACATGGAGCCAAAAAAAAAAGATGATTGATGGCTAGGGGACAGCCAGTTAATTTCGATTTTATTCACAGGTCAAATGAGAAGTGACAAATAGATGGGGAAAAGGCTGAGCATTAAAAAAAAATCAATATTGAAATAATTATACAGTTGTGCTCAAACGTTTGCATACCCTTGAAAAATTGGTAATATATGTTCCATTTAAAAAAAAACAAAAAACATAAATATGAGGGCAAAATACATTTTGTTTTTTATTTCAGAATGGTACAATCACAGAAAAAAAAATTGTAACAAAGAAAAAAATAAAATGACCCCTTTTCATAAGTCTGCATACTCTTATTTTCTAATACTGTGTATTGCCCCCTTTAGCATCGATGCCACCATGCAGTCTTATGTAACAGTTGTCTATGAGGCCCCTAATTCTTGCAAGTGGTATAACTGCCCATTTGTCGTGGCAAAATGCCTCCAGGTTATGCAAAGTCTTTGGTCGTCTTGCATGAACCGCACATTTGAGATCTCCCCAGAGTGGCTCAATGATATTAAGGTCAGGAGACTGTGATGGCCACTCCAGAACCTTCACCTTTTTCGGATTTAACCACTTAAGGGTCAACTTGGCCTTGTGCTTAGGGTCATTGTCATGATGGAAAGTCTAAGAGCGTTCCATGCGCAGTCTTCATGCAGAAGAATGCAAAATGTCTGCCAGTATTTTCTAATAACATACTGCATTCATCTTGCCATCTTTTCACAAGATTCCCCATGCCTTTAGAGCTTACCCCACCCCCAAAAACATCAGTGAGTCACAATCATGATTCACAGTGGGGATGGTATTCTTTTCACTATAAGCCTTGTTGACTCTTCTCCAAAGATAGTGTGTGTGGTTGTGACCATGAAGCTCTGTTTTGGTCTTGCCACTCCAAATTACAGTGTGCCATAAGCTGGGAAGCATGTCAAGGTGTTGTTGGGCATATAGTAATTGGGTTTATTTTTTGCAACTTGACCATGCAGCTTAATTTTTGTTTCATATTGTGCTCCTTGAAACAACCACACCATCTTTTTCCAGAGCAGCCTATATTTCTCCTTATGTTACCTGTTGGTTTTTCTTTGTATCATGAACAATTTTTCTGGCAGTTGTGGCTGACATCTGTCTTGGTTTGGTATCAAGAGATCCCTGAAGTTTCCACTTCTTATTAAGTGATTGAACAGTACTGACTGACATTTTAAAGGCTTTGGATATCTTTTTATATCCTTTTTCATCTTTTGAAGTCCCATTACCATGTTATGCAGGTCTTTTGACAGTTATTTTCTCCTCTCCATGGCAGTATCTAGCCTGCTCAGTGCATCCACGTTAGAGCTAACAATCTCAATGACTATTTATACACAGACTCTAATTGCGATTTAAAAAGCAACAGGTGTGGGAAATCAACCTTTAATTGCTATTTTAGCCTGTGTGTGTCATGTTGTGTGTCTGTAACAAGGCCAAACATTCAAGGCTTTGTAAACTTTTGATCAGAGTCATTTGGGTGATTTCTATTTTCATTATGATTTAAATAGGAGCAAAACAACTATGTGATAATAAATTACTTCATATGATCACTATCACTTGAATAAAATACATTTTCTTTTGCATGGTTAGTCATATTTTTAAAATCAACGCCCAAATTTCACAATTTCTGCCAGGGTATGCAAACATTTGAGCCCAACTGTATACTATATATTTGTTAAATACATTATATATACATTTCTTTTTCTCCTCATCTTTCTGTTATTTTAACTTGATTTATGTGTACTGCAAAATAAATGCATAGTATTTATATTATGTATATACTTTAGAGTTTACTGATTGGTGACTTTTAGTGCCTTTTTAATCCAAACTGTTTTTCCAAAATGATTGCATGGACTAAATCCATCAAGAACAAAATGCCATATGACCAAATTTTAGACACACAAAATAATTGTTTTTGGGGGGACAAATTTCTGTGAAAGATTTTTTTTCCCCCTGCACAAGGAGTTACTTGCCCAGAGCTGCCCATCATTTGATCGAGAGTGTCATGGGGTAACACTTCCGGGTTCGGAACTCTGCTGTGCGGAGCAGGACCCTGCCCCCCTCTGACACGGCTCTAACAGTATTTAGGAAGACCGCGCCAGAGAGAGGGGGCTTGGTGATACTGGAAGCTGCTTCCGCCAGACTTACCTCTCCACAGGCTCTGACAATGTGAGTCCTACTTCCGAGTATGCACGCCGGCTCCTGGGACACGCCGGCTCTACAAACTCTGAAGTCATCCTAACCTTCTGGACTAAGACAAGTATGCTTCATGTCATAGAGGATTACTGGAGAACGGAAACTCACTTACTTTACAAGTGGACCATATCCCTAAACTGTTGGAGGACTACTCAGATTAACTTTAAGTATATCTTTCAGCTATTTGTCTACAATATCATTTAATAATGAACTAATGCTTGCTTACTTAAATCTTCACTGCTACAAGCTACTAATTATATGGAGGACAACTCCCATCATGCTTATTAACTATGAACTGTTCTTGCTTTGCAAATATTCTCAGCTACTTGCTTATTGTTTCTATTGAAGATTATTCTCATGAACTTAAAGAATGTTACTTAATGCATCTCTGAGGAAATACTTAATAATGAACTTTGTGTTGCTGATTACTTGTACTTCTTCTTATTGGATTATTGCCTAAATGCAATTCATTTAAGTTTAAAACTCATTAAAACTTTGGTTGAATCAAGTTACCAGTGATTCCCTCTTTTCTTAAAGCTACAGTATTGATACTTTAAAGATTCTCAGTTTCTTCACAATTGTAATTAGGGAGTTTTACAAGCTGCAGTTGAGTTCCAATCCAAATCACCCAAGTAGCGTAACAGAGAGACTTATAATGCCCTCATATGATGACTGAATGCAGCATTGACTGGAAACATTTTGCCAGTGAGAAATTCTGCAGTGGTCCAAAGTTGGTATTTGTATTTTATACACCTAACATATGTTCCATATTGAGAGATACCAATTCCTTCTTTTTGCTTTGTGCCCACCTTTCTTTCATTCTTTCTTACTTCCTTTATTTCTTCTTTCTCTCTTTCTTTTCTTTCTTTTTCCCCATCACTTTTATCCATGATCATTCCACTGTCACTCCAGCTCAGTCATTTTATGAAAATAATATATGTGTGCTGTGTATAAATGAAAAAGTTGAAAATGATTGTGCAGCAAGTTTGTCTGTACAATTGTACTCCCATTGACCTCTGAACGTTCTTAGAATCGGGGGAATTAATAACCTGGTAAAACAGAAGAAAATGAATGCAGATGACAAAGTCATCACCATTTTCAACTAATGAAGTTAAATCTTCTAGCAGATGTCATACATATAGTTATTATGAATAATTTTCTATCTTGCACTTCTTCTGTTTTGAACTGACATATTTGTTTCTCAGACTACTATCCCTGTGGCCTAACATGGAACTGTAAGAAACATGGGAGATCTGTGTTCCCAGGTTTATGGATCTCTCCTCCATTCTACTTCTGCTTGCTTGATCCACTGTATTGGAAAAAAGGAGACTGGTTGGAAAATCTCTCATATCATATGCTAGTTTTCCTTCCTTTGTGGCTTGAACATCTGGTATGGACAAATGTTTTAGGCGATACACATGGGCGTCCACAGGCGGGGGGGAGGGGGAGGTAGGGGGAGAGCTACCCCCTTGCCCTCCCCCCGGATTTTTCAGCTTGTTCTGCTATTTTTTGTGAGAGATTGAAAATACAGTGCAATACCAGCACCGGAGAGAGACAGGGATAGGAAGCTACAGCGTATCCCTGCTTCTCTCTGACTGAATCCATAGGGAAGCAACACATGCAGCCAGCAGAGAGAGCCTACAGATCAGGTAAGGGAGGCATGGGGGGCAGAGATAGGGTCAGGCATGGGGGGCAGAGATAGCCTACAGGTCAGGTAAGTCAGGCATGGGGGGCAGAGATAGCCTACAGGTCAGGTAAGTCAGGCATAGCCACAGGTCAGGTAAGTCAGGTAGCCTACAGGTCAGGTAAGTCAGGCAGATAGCCTACAGGTCAGGTAAGTCAGGAGATAGCCTACAGGTCAGGTAAGTCAGGCATATGGAGGGGTGAGATAGCCTACAGGTCAGGTAAGTCAGGCATATGGAGGGGTGAGATAGCCTACAGGTCAGGTAAGTCAGGCATATGGAGGGGTGAGATAGCCTACAGGTCAGGTAAGTCAGGCATATGGAGGGGTGAGATAGCCTACAGGTCAGGTAAGTCAGGCATATGGAGGGGTGAGATAGCCTACAGGTCAGGTAAGTCAGGCATATGGAGGGGTGAGATAGCCTACAGGTAAGTCAGGCATATGGAGGGGTGAGATAGCCTACAGATCAGGTTAGTGAGGCATATGGAGGGGTGAGGGCAGAGATAGCCTACAGGAAGGTAAAGTAAGAGAAGGAGCAAAAAGGAGAAGGAATATAAGTGAGCAGAAAGGGGCAGCAAGGAGCTGGAAGGTAAAGCAGCACAAAGGTAAAGTAGAAGGAGCAGAAATGGTCAGCAAAGAGCTGAAAATGGCAGGAAGGGACCCTCTGTCCCTTCCTGCCATTTTCAGCTCCTTGCTGACCCTTTCTGCTCCTTCTACTTTACCTTTGTGCTGCTTTACCTTCCAGCTCCTTGCTGATCCTTCCTGCTCCTTGCAGACCCTTCCTGCTCATTTGGGTTCCTTTGTGCTCCTTCTCCTCCTAAAAGGTGATGTAGGAGAAGGAACAGGAATGAGCAGGAATGGTCTGCAAGGGGCAGCAAGGAGTAGGAAGTGTCTGCAAGGAGAATGAAGGGTCTGCAAAGAGCAGAAAGGGACAGCAAGGAGCACAAAGGTAAAGGAGCAGAAAGAATCAGAAGGAGCACAAAGGTAAAGTAGGAGAAGGAGCAGAAAAGTGTAGCAGGGAGCAGAAAGGGACAGCAAGGAGCACAAAGGTAAAGTAAGAGAAGGAGCAGAAAGGGATCAGAAAGAGAAAGGAGCAGAAGGAGCCAAGGAGGAGAGAAGACAGTGTCAGAAGAAAAAGAAGACTGTGTCAAATGAAGGAGAAGAAAAGGAGATTGGAGCAGGAAGGACAAGTGAAGTGAACCCTCTACTTTATTCTGGACACCACATCATAAGGCTTTGGTACCTGGGCCTGACAGGGAAACTTTGGACCTTCTCATCTCCCCAGGTAAAAATAAATATCAGTGTTAATGTATTCACTTTTATTTACTGAGTGTCAGGAAGCACAGAGTGCCGCTGAGGAGGGGTGTTACTGATTGGCTAGAGCGGTCAGCTGGCACTCTAAGCAAATCAGTAGCTCCCCATTCATAAAAAAGTAAAACATTTTTATGAACCGGGAACTAGCGATTGGCTTAGAGCGTCAACTGTCCACTCTAGCCAATCTGTAGCACCCATGCCTGACATCAATCTGCACTTCCTGACACTCCGTTTCAGAAGCCGAATACCACTGAGCGACCTGGAAATCTGGAGCTGGAGGAAGCCTTTGAGGTTAAACCATTTGAGAGCGGTTTAACCCCTTAAAGGAAAGAGAGCACCTAGGAGCTTCCTGGCATCATAGCATTTTCATTTAGATGAAGTTGTTATGGTGACTAGAATGTTCCTTTAATTTGCTTAAAGGAACACTATAGTGTCAGGAATACAAACATGTATTCCTGACACCATAGTTGTGAAAACGCTATTCACCCTTGCTTTATGTGATAATGACTATGCTCCTCCCCTTCATGACACTGTCAAAAAGGGACCAAGCATGGATGTCATTACAATTATGCCCCCCCCGGAAAAATTCCTGCGGACGCCCATGGCGATACAGGGTTTCCACAACCATGAGATTAGGGACCTACTTGCAACTGCACTTCCACAAAACTCACTGTTAAGTCAGTCTTTAAGCAAATTCACTTTTAGCTTAATAGCAGTAAAAAATGTGATTGAAAGTTCAGGTTTGACTGAGTTACATTACAATAATATATTTCTAGATAAAGTTTATTTATGTTTTAGTTAGACTAAGAGATTAGTATTACAAAGCATTACATCAGTTTGCCACTGGATGGCAGCATGTGATTGCTGTTTAACATTGTAGCGTCCCATTCTTTCGCATAGAAAATATTGTAAATGTAATCAGCATCTGCAATATAGATTCTGCTGACGTCTATTTTGGCATTATAACGTATAATTTTAGTGTAAGACGAGTGTACATTGACTACAGCAGATATGTAGCTGTTTAAAAAAAACAGAACCAATCAAACCATTGACTTTTTCTTTTAACACTTACAAAAAATATGACCACTGTAGGAAATTGATTTAACAAATGTATTCATTTATACTGCACATCTTAAAGCAGAGACACGGCATATACATGGCAGCTCTGCACTATGCTATTTTCACATTACATATGCATAATTAAAGATTAACACATCCTTCTATGATTTAGGCTATTGCAATAGCCAGTTAATTTAACTTTACATCTAACGGACATTGTACATTGACTGAATGCAGAATACTTGTCACAACATATTTTTCTTTCGTCAGCATTGATTTCCTGATAATTGGCTAATAGGCAGATTCCTCATTGTTAAAAAAAAATGCACCTATGCTATTCTGGAAAAGGGGTTCAGATAGACTAAACAGTTAAAAAGTTACTAGAAGGCCATTCGAAAGACTGTGGTGGTCCGAGCACAGAGTAATCTGTGAGGTCTGTTGCAGTTTGGGAGACCTCTGATACAGTATCTGGAAGATTCTTGGCATTATAACGCCATAAACTATTTTCCACATGTAGAGTAGAATGTCTGGAAATCCACATTCATGCCTTCATTATTTTTGGGATAAGTTATTCAAATAATATATTTATTATTATTATTTTTTTTTAATGTTAAATATCAAAATATATCCTATATAAAAAATATATATTTATTTATGTATGTATGTAAATAAAATCAAAATAATAAATAAAAAAAAATAATAATTTTAAAAGTTTATTTTCAAAAATATTAAATCATTTGAAAAGCTTATCCAGTAATATTAAATTGAGGCCTAATTGTCCTGTCTTTGAGTGAGATACCTGTTTCTACTTTTCTTGTTTTTCAAAATTAAAAAAAAATAAAACATTTGTTTAGTTGTTTTTTTTATTTCCTGGTACTTGATACTTCTGTCACATTGCTCCTGTAGACTTATAACAATATCAGTTTAAGTGAGGATGCTTGCATAACATTTCTTCCTGATTTGTTCAACTCTTTTGTTGCTTTGTGGAGAAACAATTCTGTATACATTTGGGGACAGATTGATCCTAATTGTATTCTGTACTGTTACTGATCATATTATTGACCTTTTTCTTTTACTGACCTAAGTGGACTGTATTTTATTTAATTTTTTTACTTTATGCTGAGCCTTTATGGTGTTTTAATGGTGTATTTTTGCACACTCTTTTTCAAACAGCTGTTGTTTACATAAACAGGGAATATAAGTTTTATTCTTTTAAAGCAGACAGCAGAGTACAGGCTATAATGTGTAACTATTGAAGTAAATAAATAGCTAAAAACAAATGGAATGGTGCCTGTGGCAAACTCCCCTTTCTATCCATGTTTGCCACAGGCTCCTGGAGAAGCCAGCTTGCCAGCCTCCTGCCCACAGACTATGGTCCCTGCAGGGAAACCTGTAAAATACTACTGAACTTGTCCGAATGTTAGCACTGATTTCCCTGGAACTGTTTTGGGCATGGGGCCATGCTTGCAAGTTCAAAACTATGACTTCCAGTAAATTCTTGAACCCCTGAACCGATCTGATTTCTGGATATGTTGTTCACCCAGATCGGGGCTATCAGGGAATGTAACTTATAAGGCGTTTTGTGTGTTTTTAAGGTACTTTTTGGGGTTTCATAAAATTGTATGTTTTTTTCTCTGCTTGGAGATAATTAGGTTAGATTAGTACAGTTCCTGATTCAATTATCTCCCAAGCACAGAGGAGGGATTCTATTGTTTGTGTATGGGAGTGTCTCACTGTATTGGTTTGTTCACTTTGTGTCCCTGTGCCCAACAAGGTGTCGCCCTTGTTGGGAAACTTGCATAAAAGGCCAGTGTGCCTCCATGAAAACTCTGTTAAACATAGAAACATAGAATGTGATAGCAGATAAGAACCATTCGGCCCATCTAGTCTGCCCAATTTTCTAAATGCTTTCATTAGTCCCTAGCCTTATCTTATAGTTAGGATAGCCTTATGCCTATCCCACGCATGCTTAAACTCCTTTACTGTGTTACCCTCTACCACTTCAGCTGGAAGGCTATTCCATGCATCCACTACCCTCTCAGTAAAGTAATACTTCCTGATATTATTTTTAAACCTTTGTCCCTCTAATTTAAGACTATGTCCTCTTGTTGTGGTAGTTTTTCTTCTTTTAAATATAGTCTCCTCCTTTACTGTGTTGATTCCCTTTATATATTTAAATGTTTCTATCATATCCCCCCTGTCTCGTCTTTCCTCCAAGCTATACATGTTAAGATCCTTTAACCTTTCCTGGTAAGTTTAACCCTGCAATCCATGAACCAGTTTAGTAGCCCTTCTCTGAACCCTCTCTAAAGTATCAATATCCTTCTGAAGATACGGTCTCCAGTACTGCAGTACTGCAGTACTCCAGTACTGCGTACAATACACTAAGTGAGGTCTCACCAGTGGTCTGTACAATGGCTTTAGATTTACTCCTGTGTCTGCTTTTTCAGCTTGCAGGGTATTCAACGTGGAAAGTCCTTGTAAGGACTAGAGCTAATTCCCCATTCGGCTTCAAGATGGAGCGGTTCCAGGGCCCTAGTCAAGTCTCGGCAACTGTGGGCAGAAGTGCTGCGGTTTGTCCCCTGTTCCAGCTAGGAAGCGGTCCTTTGGCGGAGGTACCCAGTCGGGGTACAGGGAGCTCTGTTATAGTGCCACTTTTATATGTTCTAATACTCAATTCTGATAAAAGGCAAATAATCAAAGATATAAGTGAATTTCAAATTTAAGGCTAAATTAGCCAAAATGGAAGCATAGCTAACTTAGAGAATGTTTTCAGTTTGGCTATTTTTACCTGAAATTTGAAATTCACTTTGAATTAATTTGCAATTCTCACTTTAATGAATAACCCGTTTACTTTTTTGCAACAGGCAAGTTTGCCTGTTTTTAGTCTTGGTATTGACCTTCAGTCTCAAGGAAATCCAAAGCTGGATTGGAGATGATGATGATGACAACGTAAAAGTGATGAAATGTTCTCCTTCTGATATCAAAGATCTTTGTATAAAGCAGTTGTGACAGTCTCATAGAACTATTGCCTTTCAATGTTAATTGTTTTGACAAAATAGGTTTTGCTCTCTAACCTGATTTGAAACAAAGTTTCTAACTCATCACAAGGATTCCCAATTTTCATCAGTCAGTTTTTTTCTTTTTTCATATAACTTGTGTTTGTAATTCTAAAAATAATGTGCATATAATATACTACACACACATATTATCAAAACAAAAAGTGTAATAATTATGAGTTGGCATTTTGATATAAGTAGACTAACGAATTATGAAATGATGAATGGGAGAGTGTTCAATGAGATGAGGATGCAGAGGGAGGTAATGAAGTGATGGATGAACAAATGAGTAAATGGGATCATAAATCATCCCTTTAGTGTAAGACCTGCTGCCATCAAAAGTATCAGTTAAGACGCTAATCAATGAATCAAATACAAAAAGAAAGAGGTGCAGTGCTAACAATGGCCAAATATGCCCAAGACGTGTTTTAATACACAACAATAAAAAGAAGAGAAGGCCATTTTAGAGTCCTTTTTATATATGTCATGTAATTGAAAGGGTGAAGCAGTAATACGATGTTAGAGTACCAATTCATTAAAACACAGCACAAAATGTTTGTGCTTCATAATATAAATGTAAATATCAGTATGGAATGAGTTTATTAAGTATATAGCCCTTTAACTCGCTTTGGAATCTGAAAACATCATATGCTCATGATGTTGAAAGTTGTTTCCAAGGCTTCAATGAGAAAGGGCAAGCTACCATGAGGAAGGTTTCTGGCCAATATAGGGGTAAGGCAAAATTATACATAAAAATAGGAAATTATGAACGTATGAAATTAAAGGAATTTGAGATCTTGTAGTATTTATTATAGTTAGGCTGTAGAAAA